GTGACCTCGCCGTCCTGTGGGGGGCTGGGTTATGACGTTGGGGGGTCCAGCGGTGGTGCTCCCACGAATTATGCCTCCAAGCGTCTCTCCTTGTGTTTCCACACTCCCTCGTGGCCGCCAGCCTGCGCTAACGATCTGACTCTTAGAGCGACGCCACAGATGTGAACATGTGACTCTGGCCCGACGTTCTTTGGCAAATCGTTCAAGGGCACGGCGGGTCCTTCAGTGCTCGCGTTTGTATTGAACGGTCCTATCTATAGCCGCCTCATGTGTACAACGGGTTGGGTACGTCCCTGGGTTGTTTCAATTGACGTGCTCTTTCCGGGGCTCGCGCCATGCTTTTTTACAAGGGAACGCGAGGGGTCACCAAGTTGGGTCCCTGGCCCCCGAGTTACAACATCAACGGCCCCCGCTTAACACCTGTTCGACATGTATTCCCAATCGCGGTCTCGCGCGGGACGCCCTCACAGTTCATACAGGAATCGCGCTCTCGCGTGGGACCCTCGCAATTTATTCAGACGCCGCGCCCTCGGCACTCAGGAGTCACGTTCTCGCCGTTGACTTCCTGACGATGTATTTGGGGATCGCGCTATCGCTCGAGCTTTCCTCGCGACGCAGGCAGAGCGCGCACCCGCCTTCCCGACCCGCCCGACAGGGTGCAATCGCCCGTTAGGGTGTACCCGCCCGATCTGCCCGCTTGGTTCTGCCACGTGCTTTCTGCTCCGAGCCCCCCCTCCTGCTACTGTCGGTCGTGTTCCATCCTCCTCCCTCCTCTCCCCCCTTGTCCAGTCCTTCCATCCGTCCTCTCTTCCCTTGCCATGTTGGGCTGCACGAAGTGCATGTTGCAGGTAAGACAGATCAATACCCCCAAAGGGGTACGATCAAAGACGAAGAGGGCGGGTACCGAGGCTTTGGGATATACGTATTGAGTGGCCCGCAAGTAGATCAGACGGATAAACCTTACCACGATTGTTGTTGTTATTGTTGTTGTTGTTGTTGCTGCTGCTGCTGGTGTTGTTGCTGTTGCTGTTGTTGTTCTTGTGGTTGTTGTTGCCGTTGTCAGGTGCTGCTGCTGTCCTTGTTGTTGTTGTTGTTGTTGTTGTTGTTGTTGTTGTTGCTGCTGCTGTCATTGTTGTTGCTGTTGCTGTTGCGGCTGCTGTCGTTGGTAAGGGACTGGCGCAGCATTTGCGCAGGAATATATCGGGGAGCCATTGGAGTCCTTAAGTCGGAAGCCATGTGCACTATTAAGAGATCCTCAGGAATACTTCCTGGGGACGCCTCTGGCATCGCCAGCAATTTCTGGAATCCTTGGAGAATATACAGGGATCCTGAGTGAACTTATATGTGATAGAAACTCGGCGCTTGCGGCGATCTTTCGTTGTACAGACCCTCGCAGATTGCCGACGTCCCCGCCGCCCCCATCACTCTTATCCGCAACTGCGGGGTGCTACGTAAAAGAAAAGGGATGCAGGAAGAGGATGGAGACGAGGACGAGGATGTGGAGGAGGAGGAGGTGGAGGAGGAGGAAGAGGAGAGCATGAGGGAAGAGAAGGAGGGAGGAAATGGAAGGAACACGTGTTGAATTGTGAGGGATAGGGGAGGCCGAGGGAGGACGAGGAAGGGACAGGCGGACCCCGCCATGGTGCCCACGGCCTGTAACGCTCTCCACAGATCGGGTAGCTGTCTGTCCGTTCGGCCATGCTTTCTCTTTCGCCCTCCTCCTGCTGTTCCTGCCCACGCGGCCTTTGGACCGCATGGGCTCGGCAGGAACGGGCGATGCCCCAGAGCTTGCTCCGATCCATCGCGGAAGCGCGCAGTTGTTGCTGCCTGGATGCATCCCCAGTGCGTCTTGACCTTGACCTTCAGATCTTTATCCTCCTCCTCCTTTTCCTCCTTCCACGGCCCAAGACATGAGGACGCACAACCGACAGGTCTGGCTGCTACCCAAGGGGCGGGGGGTCCTGAGCTCGGGGGGACGCCATAGCAGAGTTCAACAATGTGCTGTGCACCAAATCGCGCAGGGTGGGCCCTTTCCCAAATCTGTGCTTCGGTACGGATCGTAAGCGCGCCTCGTCTCCGTCATCGGCATCATCATGGTCATGGTGCGTATTGCTCTGCTTGGGACCTGTTACATTGGTTTGCAATGACGACCACCACCACCTTTCTGTCTTTGTCGGTGGCGGACAGAGCTCCAGGAAGCTACCCCATATTGCGTGCGATTAGACAAGGGTGAAGCATGGATACGTAGAAAGGGAGGGAGAGAGAGAGAGAGAGAAAGACCTTAGACAGCGAGACGCCAGCGAGAGAGCGGCGGAAAGGGGGACGGGCAACGGCGGCCAGCAAAGCATCGACCCGGCAGCGGAGCGACTGCAAAACGACAACAAGTAATGGGGGGTAGAAGAGAGATACGAAAAGGCAACGGGAGCGGCGACGGCGAACATGGCAGCGGCAGCGGCAGCGGCCAGGACCACCGAACCGCCTCCCTCCTCCACGGCCGCAGGTACAACTGCGACAGGATGATCTGCCGCAAGTGCTACGCGCGGCTGCCAGCGCGTGCGGTGAACTGCCGCAAGAAGAAGTGCGGTGCGCCCGCGGCTGTCGTCGTCCAGGGGCTTTACTTGTTCTATGAAGAACCGGTGCTCCCCAGCCTTATGAGGCGAGTCGTTCCACAAACTGCTTGACAATTGATGCATTCAGCCTTTCCCTCCCGCTTCCCTTTTCCTCCTCTTCCTCGCCCCGCCCCTCCTCCAGGCGCTTTCGTTTGGCAAGCACGCAGGCTCTCGTGCGAACATCGTTCATACTCCGGACCGGCCTCCACAGAGTGTAGGTTTGCAGAATTGTCGCATTGTCTTGTCACTTTTTTCTTTTTCCTAAAAATATTTTGAACCAATTGTGCGCTTTTCGATTCCCTACCGATGAACCGTTGCCTAGCGGCGGTGTGACTAAGTGACCATCGGCCTTCCTCGGGTTTCCTGGTTTTATTCATTGCCTTTCTTCCTCGGGCTTCCTAGTCTTGTTCCCCGCATTCTTCGATCGATCTTGCTTCTTGCCTTCCTTTCTGGTTTCCAGGTCTTCTTCCCCGGGCTCCCCAGTCTTATTCCTTGCCTTCCTTGCTTGGGTTTTTTGGTAGTTGCCTTCCTTTGTTCTCTGGGCTTGTTTCTCGCCTTCTTTCCGATGCCATACCAAGCAATGCCAAGCAACTCTGAGCAACGCAACGCAATGCAAAGCCTTTCAAAGCAGCCCCAAGCATGGCCACGCCATGATAATCAATGCCAGGCACTGTCAACCAATTGAAAGCAATGCCAAACAAAGCTAAAGCATGCCAAAGAAAGTTAAGCAACGATTCCAGGCAGCGATCCCAAGCAATGATTCCAAGCAATGCCAAACAATGCCAAGCATCGCACAGTGATGCCAAGCAATGCCAATCATTTCCAAGCAATGTCAAGCAACTATCGACATTTGGTTTGTACTGTCTTTGTTTTGCGCAGAACTGTTGTGAACTGCGTTGGTAGAGAAAGAAGTTCCTATGGCATTCCTCGCAAAACAATGCCCACCAATGCCGAGAAATGACAAGCAGCGCCAAGCGACGCCAAACAATGCAATGCCAAGCAAAGCAACGCGATGGCAAGCAAAGCCAAACCGTGACCAGCAACGACAAGTAATGCCAAGCGACCCCAAGCCATGACAAGCCGTGCCAAGCAACGCCACGCAGCGCCAAGAACGCCAAGCAATGTCCAGCACTGCCAAGCAAATCTGAGCAATGCCAAGCAACGCCGAGAAACGCACATACACTGTCACTAATGCCGATTGATACCACACCGTGCAAGCAAACGCCAAGACATGCTAAGCAATGCCACTCAACGCAAGGCAACGCCAAACAATACCAAGCAACGCTCAGCAACAATAACACAATGCCGAGCAACGCCAAGCAACGCCAAGCAATGTTAAGCAGTGTCAAGCATTGCCTAGCAATGGCAAGACCCGCCAAGCAACACAAAGCAATTGCCAAGCAAGTCCCATCAACGCCCAGCAATGTCAAGCAATTCCAAGCAGTGCCAAGCAATGCCATGCAATGCCAAGCAACGCCAAGCAACGCCACGCAATGCAGTCAATGTCAATCAATTCATTGCCAATTGTTTCCAAGCAGCGCCAAACAATGCCACGCAAGGCTGTTTAGGATGCGTTCCCCTAATTGGCGTCGCGCTGGATGTATTAAGTTGCTTTCCGAGGGCCTTTGGAACCACCAGGATTTGCCCGCTGCGCTACATGAGCAACGCCTAGTAATGCGTAGGCATGGCCACTGCTGCCGATGCTGCGGCTATTGCCGCTGGTGACGCCCTTGCCGCTAATGATGCCGCTCGCAGCGATCAATTGTGAGATGTTATTGCCGCTGATGATCCCGTTATTATCATGTCGATCGGCTGATGGACTTTTCATTGCCTCACACGTTTACCTTTGATTGTCTCACCCGTCTCACATACACGCTGCTGCGGCGCCCGCCTGCGACGCCCTAGCTGGCGACAGCTGCAGGTCCGATGCCCCGATGCTCCGATGCTGCTGATCCCGTGATTGCGACCGCTAGTGTTGCTTCCCTCATCCACCCGGCAAGCCCTCAGACGGTGGGCCCATCTTGCAACGTTCACGAACAAGCAGGCACCCAGGTAGAGTAGATCTGGGGGAGACACTTGGTAGACACATGGCCCACGGGGCGCCCACGAGCGCCCACGAGGCGGCACAGTCGGCAATGTGGCGCAGCTTCGGCCGACCCACCCAGAGCACGGGGCTCCCACGAGCGCCCACGAGGCGGCTCAGGCGGCAACGTGGCGCATCGTCGGCCGACCCACCCAGCGCTCGGGGCGCCCACGAGCGCCTACGAGGCGGCACGGAGCGGCCACGTGGAAATCAACGGCCGGCCCGTCCAATCACTTAGTTAGCACAAGTAAGAGCCCCTAAGCGCAAGCACCGCTTCAGGAATATATTGTATGCTGGGGTACCAGGGCCCTAGGCCCCAGGCCGGCGCACCCTCCCGGACCTCGGGTGCCTCCGGGGCCTCCCCCTGGCCACCCTGGCCGCCCAAAGCACCTTTGGGGATCCTGGATAAGCGACGAGAGCTGCGCAATAGGGCCCAAGACGCCCCGAGATGGCCACCAGACGGGCAAAAAGGCCACCAATAGAATGCTCCCCAAGAGCGCACGCAAATTCAAAATTGCTGCATTCAGTAAGCGGACGTATATTCTTTCACATATTCATTTTTTAAATCTTCACTGCGTCTTAGACGGCCCAAGAGGGTGCCCAAGACGGCACAGGAGGGCCCAAAGAGAGGCCCAAGACAGGGAACCCGAACTCAAATTTCGAGCTGTTTGTCCTAATCTTGTTTTTGTAATCGGCCTTCTACCTCCCCCCCCGGCTCACGTCCCTTTATTTGCCCACATGTGCAAATATGTCCTAAGGATTCGAAGATTTTGAGGATTGTAAGGGTTCCTAGGAATTCGTCGTCGTCGCTGTCGTCCGCGCCCAGGAGGCCGAAAACAAGAGGGTGCCTCTGGAGGAAGGACCCTGATCTCCCGGCGGAGGGACGGCGGGGGAGAGAGAACAGGAGACGAGGAGAGAATAGGAAAAGGGAAGAGAAAGAAGGAGGAGGAGAAGGAGGAGGAGGAGGAATGGGAAGAGGAGGAGGAGGAGGAGAGGAGGAGGAGGAGAGGAGGAGGAGGAGGAGGAGAAGGAGGAGGAGGAGGAGGAGGAGGAGGAGGAGTGTGCTAATATTTTCGCTGGTTTCGTCGTCGGCGGTCTTGGGGAAGTCGGGGGAGCCGTATGCAGGGCCCCCGGAAGCCTGCGCAGGTTTCTAGAGGCCCCGGGAAACCGGCGGCGACGAGTCTCCGGTTGAATAATCGGCCCCGGTTCACCTCGCAAGCACGTTGCGTTGCTCTCATGCGTGCGCCGTCTTGTGGTCAATGTGGTGCTCTCTGGCGCGCTGTCGTGCTCGCAGGCCTCGGCGGTGCACGCAGGGGCGCTTCGGTGCTCACAGGAAACCCCCCGAAGTGATGTGATCGGCAAGACGAACTCCCCCCCCCCCCGATCACGCCCGTTATCGCGAATAGTGAACGACAAAACGACAGGCTCCTAAGTGGACCCTCAAGGCCGCCAGCAGGTCCCCAAGGTCCCCAAAGAGGCCCCACGAGTCCCCCAAACGGCCCCCAAGATGCCCTGAGAAGCTTCAAAGTTTGCTCCACGAGGTGCCCGAGAAGCATGCCAAGAGACCCCTCATCGCAGGTATCCAAGAAGCATCTAGCCCCAAACTCAGGCACGGTGGCGTTATGGGGCGGTATGGGCCGAAGGCCATCGATCCGCCGCCCCCTGTTGGCTTGCTACAGGAGTGCCTGGCCTGCTGGACGTTCTGGAAGGTTGTTGGTTCTTTCAGAACTCCGCCTTGGCCTTCGGCGCAGTGCGCGGCCACCCAGAAGACCTAGTTGCACATGTTGCTCACGATGGCTCCAAGATGGCCCAATATGGCCTCCAAAACGGCCAAGATGGCCTCCAAGTTTGCCCAGGATGTTCAAGATGGCATCCAAGACGGCTCAAGAGTCCAAGATGCCTCCAACTTCGCCTGAGAAGTCTCCAAGACGGCCCCAGAGGCCCCCAAGAGGCCTCCAAGAGGTTCTCCAGGAGGACTGGAAGAGGCCAACATCGTTGATTGTCCTTCGGTATTTGAAGGATTTTGCCATTTGCTTTTTGTTCTGCCTTCCGACGACCCACCACGCCCAAGAAGCCCCAAAATCGCCCCAGGATCGCCCCGAAGGCCTCCAAGATGACCCCATGATGCCCCGAGAAGCCTCCAAGACGGCCCCAAGGGGGCCTCAAGACGGCCCAAGAGGCTTCCAAGGCGCCCGAGATGGCCTCCAAGACGGCCCTGAAGCGACTCAAGGGGGCCCCAAGTCGATTCAGAGAGCCATCCAGGTCCAAGACGGCGTCAGAGGTGCCAGGAGCGCCCTAAGACGGCCCAGGAGGCCCCCCCCCCAATGGCCCCAAAGGTCCCCAAGAGGCCCAAGGAGGCTTCCAAGGGGCCTCTGAGAGGCCCACAAGAAGCTCCCAGAAGGCCCCAAGAGTTCTCCTCTTCCTCCTCCCCTTGCTCCTCCTCCTCCTCCTCCTCCTCCTCCTCCTCCTCATCCCCATCCTAATTCTCATCCTCATCCTCCTCCCTCTCCCCTTCTCCTCCTCCTCCTCCTCCTCCTCCTCCTCCTCCCCCTCTTCATCCTCCTTCTCCTCCTCCCCCTCCTCCTCCTCCTTCTCTCTTTCTTTCCTCCCTCTCATCTGCTTCTTCGTTCTCCTCCGCGTGTCCCTCGAAGGGTCTCCACAACGGCTGGGGGAACACATGATCCGATAATGTGACAGAGCTCTGGCTACAACGTTCGGCCACATGGGCGATTCCAAAATGCACGGGGCGGCGCTGATTCGCCGCAGGCGTCTTCGATAAGCAAACATTTGGCTGGGCGACGGGCCCATCCCCATGCAGTCACGTGCAGCGCAGGGCGCGGCCCTAGCTTCGTACAATGCACGCCGCGGGACTGAACTGATTGCGGGCTGAGGGCAAGCGTGCGCAGGCGCGCTGATCTCCATGTGGGCACGATCCGCGTGAAAGGGTGCCGAGTAATTTGGGCGCCTTCGCGCGAACCCGTCCACCGAGGCCGCAGGTGGAGCTCCTCGTGTGTGAGGCACGGCCTGCGTGAAGCATGTGCCAAACTGGGCGGGGGGACGCCACGCAAAGTTGCCCATTGATGCCATAGGTGGAGCTCGTTCCCGGGCACGATTCGTGTGAGTGTGCCTGCATGGGAAAGGGGACGATTTGCAAACCTTGTCTCTGAGGCTGTGTGTGGAGCTCCCTGTGGGGGACTTTCCGCGTGAGGGGTGTGCCGCAATGGGAGGGGGGTGGCCCTATGCAAACCTTGTGTCTCTGGGCCGTCGGTGAAGCTTTCTGCAGGCGGGGGTGGGCGGGCCGCGAACCTTGTCTCTGGGGCCGTTGGCGGAATTTCCTGCAGAGCACGATCCGTGTGAGAGGTGTGCCGCCGTGAGTGGGGCGACGTTATGCGAAGCTTCCTTTCACGTAAGTGCAGTTACTTGCGGGGCAGCACTATGAGGGATGTGCCGCTCTGCTGTGCGGCCGCAGATGGGGCTCCTTGTGGGGTACGATCCTTGTGAGGGATGTGCCGAGATGGGTGGGGGGGCCGTAGCTGGAGTGTCCTGACGGCATGATCCGTGTGAAGGATGTGCCGAAATAAGTGCGGCGACGCTACTCAGATATGCATGCCCACGATCGCGCAGGGGTTCCCACTTGGTGATCGTGGCTGGATGGCGTGCGTACCCATCCGCTGATTGATGTGACGCTGGCTATTCCTGGGCAGGAGCATAAGCGCGCCGAAAGCGCGCGTACGTTTTCCCAGTGTAAGCATATCCAGTGACATCTGAAAATGCGCACATTAAAAAGTGGGACATGCTCTCCATCTTTTCAGAAACACTTACTGCCACTCTCTTGCGGGCTCCCGTAGCCCGACGGTGCCATCATAGCAGCGCTGTCATGGAGCAGTTCCGTCCGCTCACGTCTGCGGGTGCAGCAGTCCCAGCCACTTGATATTCGGGGGCCCCACACGGTATGGGTGCGGTGACCACATCGTGTGGTGAGTCAGGGGGGATTTGGGGTCACCGCACAATTATGTCACTTGGAATGTCTCGGGCGACTGGGGCCTCGAAGATCCCAACCATGAGTTGACCGTCCGTGCGGCGAGGTCTTCTGGGATTTCGAGGTCACCGCACGGTCCGTTTCAGCACCTTGTTGGGTTCCCCCAGTGTTCAGAGTCCGTTTGCTTCCGCGACGTTCAGCTGCCGCCTTTCGCTGACGCCCTCATTCTCGATGATCTAGCGGCTCGGTCGAGTGACACTTTCAGCATCTCGGCACGTGTCTCGGTTCGACCGATCTTTGGCTTCGGGCACAGGGGACGGCGGACTCGTTCATCCGTTCATGTTCGGAAGAGCCAGAGCTTGGAGCTTTCAATACACTGTTGGTAGACCGGTTGGATGAGCGACAACCGCGGATTTTGCATCCTGGATCTATTGCGAAGGCCTTACGGCCGGTGCCGCCGACCCTGAAGACGAAGCTGTCTGTGACGCCGTGAAGGCCGAAACGTCGTATATGCTAAAAATGTAAATTTCCGATGCAAAAGTAATGAGTGTGGCCTCTTGGGCCCTTCTTGGGGGTGCTCTTGAAGGGGGCCTGGGACGTCTTGGAGGCTTCTTGGACGGTCTTGGGGCTATCTTGGGCGTCTTCGGCCGATCTTTGGGCGACTCTGGGCACTCTTGGGCCGTCTCGGGGGCCATCTTGGGCATTCGGACCTCATTTGGAGTGTTTTCGAGGTTTCGAGGCCGCCCGAGGAAAAACGAATCTGCCCCCCACCCCCCCCCACCCCATCCCCCCCGGGACCCCCCCCCCCTGGGGAAGGGATCAAAGGGAAGGGGCTTCCCTTCGAATCGACAACGGCATGACGGCAGGAGGGTACGGCCCAAAAAGAAAAAAGGGGGAAGGAAGAAGGGGGGGCGGCGAGGAACGGACGAGGAAGCCCCTCGCACACGCCGACAGGGTCGGCGGATTTCTGTGGATGTTTGGGTTCGTAGAGGGTGCTTCTTGGCAGGGCGGGTTTCCATCATGGTGCAGTGGGCAGGTCTCGTCAAGTATGGCGTGCGGTCAGACAAGCGATTGGTTTTCTGCAGTGCTCAGAACTCCTCCTGCACTTCATCACAGGCGGGGAGGCGTGTGCTCCTGGTCCGCCGTGCCCTCAGGGTGTAAGAGGAGCTCGTGCGGCTCGCAGCATCTCGTGTGCACCTCTCGCAGAGAGAGAAACAGAGAGAGACAGAGGAGAGGATGAAGTAGACGATGCCACCGACGACTCAAGGGTATCCGCGGTTCGGTCAGTTCGGCCGCGTCACAGTCGGTCGCGTTCGTGGGGTTTGGTTCGGTCAGTTGATGTGTTGTTGCCGCGTCGCTGCGCCTTCCTAGCCTGCCTGAGGCCCACCGGGTTTGGTCAGTTTCGGTTTCGCCGTCGGTTCGGCCGGTATTCGGTTGTGCTGTCGCCGTGGACGGCCTTGCAATTTGTCAAATTTGTTTATGAGACCATTTAGTCCGCGCGAGTTTCCTCCTTCCTTGGCTCTGCTCCTTGGCGAGGTCACACCAACTACCTCCGCCCCAAGAAGAAGCTGAAGTGAGCAGCCCGCGTTGGTGTGCACGGCTAGCGCACGCGCGACTGCGCGCAGTCGACGGGTGTGCCGGATGATCCTGCACTGCGTAGAGTGGGCCATGTGCGGTCAGGCAATATCACGTTGAGTTCAGACACGACTTGCGTGGGACCTCCTTCGGTTGCAACTCCTGGGATGTTAAATTCAACATCAATGTTATGTTTCCTTGGGTCTAATTGTGCCATATAGTAGTCTGGCTTGATCAGGTTCACTTTGGTTTAATATGATGGTTGTTCGGGCTTGATCCTGATAGTCCCCCCTGATCGGGCCCAGTAGTCTTGAGTCACTGCCACAAAGGCCTCCCACGAGTTGCCTCCAACTCCTCCTCATGTTCCTCATCCCCTTCCCTTCCTTGCCCCCGGAGGGGTGCCTCGGCGATTCGGCTCGTTGGCGGTAATCTTCCAGGCACCCATAGGCAGCCCTAGGCAATCCAGAGAAGCGGGCGTTTTGATTCTAATTCTGGGTTCAATTGTCTTTGTCGATGTGTTCAGGATCTACCAGCCGGGCTTGGGATGCGGGCAAATCGTTCTAGAGAGGTTTTCCGGATTCGGCGGCTTTCGAGAGATGTTCGATGTTTTCGAATTCAGATTCGTCTTTATTTTGCTCAGAGGCCAACAAGATTTGTTCACGGACGCGGTCAGAGTCCGCCGGCCTGTGTTTGAATGTGGCCATTCGTGATTGATGGCACCACATCATGGGATATGTATGTCCTCGGAAGTTCGTTTTCAGAGTGCATTCGAGTGTGCTAGCTTTGGTAATCGATGAGACAGCGCTGGTCTAGCATCGAGCAGTGCCACCTAGCGTCGATTCTAGTGTCGGTTAGTGTCGATTCGCAAGAGCCAGCCAGACGAGGTGGGGGTTTCCCATTAGTTGCCACAGAACCCTCGCCCGTTCCACGGGCAGGGGGCCCGAGGCTGCATGGTGCATTTTTTTTACGCCTCGGGCCTATCGTGCGCGGAGGTGGGTCGCGGGTCGGTCGCCGCCGGCGCACAGCGATCGTGCGGCGGGAGCCTGAATGACGAGGGTCCAGACCTCGCGAATGGGGCAGGAGTTTGGGCGGGGTCGGAGGATCGCACCGCATCGCCGATGCGTCACAGGTGCGGCTCGATTTGTAGCCTGATTCTCTCAACGCCGGCATCGCCGATGCATCGCCGACGTCGCCGATGCGTCGCCGAAGCACCGGCGATGCATCGGCGATGCTCGGACCCAATTGGGAGGTCGAATTGGGAGGCCTCTAGATGAGGAGGGGATCGTAGGGGAGAAGGAGGGTTGGGGAGGGGAAGAGGGAGGAGGAGGAGGAGGAGAAGGAAGGATTAGGAGGATGTCAAGGAGGAGGAGGGACTTGGTGTGTGTGTGTGTGTGTGTGTGTGTGTACGGTCGAGCATATGAATACGACAACTCTTACCGGAAGTTGGGTCAATGTTTCTCAACCAACTTGCCGGGAAGCCCGCCTAGTTTCTCGAGCACGTTCGTCCGCTCAGCTTTAGCAACAGAGCCTGACCCAGTCTTGTTTCAAGGAATTTCTGGTAAGTTGACCAAGGTTTCTTAACATATCCGTAAGGGCTTCGTCCCCCGCCGCTGGCCCCTCTCGGAGAACGGTGTATGGAAGAGCTATGTTGTGAGGCCTGGGCGCCGTCGTGAAGCAGCGTTGGAACTCTGATCGGGGGCCACTGGAGATATGAGCGGAACATTGTAGATGTTTGCCTCTTTGGCCCGTCTTGGGGGTGGTCTTGGAGCGCTCTTAGGGGCCTCTTGGGAGCCTCTTGGGTCGTCTTGGGACCATCTTGGGCGCCTTGGAGCTTTCCTGGGCCGTCTTGGAGGCCTCTTGTATCGTCTTGACGGATTGTGGCCTCGAAATGGAGCTGGGCAGGCACGCTTGCAAACATGGAGGGTGATAGATGGGCCAAGAAAACAACGGAGTGAAGGGACCACGAGTGGTGGAAAAATTTGGAAGAATCTTCGCGACACCGGCCATATCGCTCAAGACCAGGTCTTTCACAAGATGGGAAGATGATTCACGCAGATTCGCTTTGTCCAAAGGATGGCATTCTACGACATGGAGTATTCAGTTGATGAGTATGTGAGATACGGAAAAACACTCACACTTTTGATCTGTTCATCGCCATCCATCCTTCGTCGTCATTTTGCGGTTGGGTGCTTGGCCTCGTCGCTACAGCGTTTGATTGTCTTTCGCATCTTCGCAGCAGCTTCTGGCTGCAATTCTTTCCCGCGTCGTCCTTCGCAGCAGTTCCACAGGTCCTTTTCGAAGGGCGATGACGATGACGATGACGATGACGATGACGATGTTTTTCTCCGAATGTTAAAGTGCGAACACTTTGACCAAAAGGCTGGCTTTCACGCGTCGTCCTTCGCAGCAGTGCCACCAGTCCTTTTCGAAGGGCCGGCGTGCTGAGCACGCCTGTACCCTGCCTTCGAGCCGCCCAGCCGGGCGTGGACGGCTTCGACCTTCGACCTTCCACATGGTGTCCTTGAGAGCGCGAACGTTGCATATCCACAAGGGTTTTTGATTTCGGGGACGCGAAGAAGGCGTAATTTACCAGGGGTTTTGGTTTCGGGGACGCAGATGTTTTGTACACTGCTAGAGAGTATTGCCTCGAAGACGCGAGCCTTGCCGAATTTATTGGGAGGTACGGTCTCGGGAGCGCGAAAACAATGTAATTTGCGAGGGTTTCTGGCCTCGGGGACGCGATCATGACGCAATCCCGAGGAATTTTAGGTTCGGGGGCGCGAGCATCATGTATTCTCACGTGTCCCATGGCCACCCAGAAATTCTGAGCCCCCACGTGTGGTAACCAGCTTTTTTTCGGCTCCCCACCCCCTCTCGCGCGGACTTTAAGAGTTCACAGTAGGAAACAGAAAGCAGGACTAGAACCTTGGAGACTGGAAGCTGGAACTGGTGCAGGGAGCAGCAAGCCTAATCCGCGGAGCCTGGTGGCCCCACAAGGGGCCGGCGAATTTTCGTTTGTAGTTGCTGCTGGCTCGGCCTCCTCTTCCTCCGCCTCTGTTGCGGGGCTTCCTGGGGGCCCCCTCGAGCCCCACGATGGGGGCGGCCTCTTGGGGTCTGTTCCCTTTGGGCAGGGCTCCCCTGGGGAGCCCTCCTCTTGCCCCCCCCCGTGCTCTTCTTCCTCCTCCTCTTCCCCTCCTTCCTGGAGGAGGAGGAGGAGCAAACAACACAATCACGTTCATTCTCCCTCGCACTCTCCTTCTTCGTCGTCTTGCTCGCCTCGTTCTCGCTGTCTCCTTCCCCCCTTCCCACTCCTGCCTCATCCTTCAGCGTCTCGTCCCGCCTCGTCGGCTTCATCCTCTTCCTCTGTGCCTCTTCATTCCCTCATGGCTGTGGACACCTCTGCACCTGCCCGGCGGGGCCGATCCCGTGCCCAGGACCCAGCCCCTCGACGCCATGATTTTTTCACAAGATCCGACCACAACGCTGTTGAGTTTGGGTTGGGCCTATGTCGTGTTTTTTGGTTGTGTTCGATGTTCTTGCTTGTTTAGTTTCCTGTTCTGTGGTTGTCTCAAGCGCCTCGTTTCGTGTTCCGTTTCGCTTGGCGATGGTTTCGGTTTGAGCGTGATTCTTAAACGTTGGGTTTTCTTTTCGTTTTGCATTTGAAATGTCATGTCGCTTGGAAACTATGTTGCGGTCGTTCTTTGCTTGTTCATAACGCCGACCCCGAAATGTCTCGACCTGCTCCTCGGGTCCAGTTCCTCCTCCCGAGTCGCTTGTGCCGACTGGCCCTGGGCCCCGCGAGGGCCCCCAGAGATCGAAGACATCAGCAAGCACGCTTCCCGTCGTGACTTGTTCGCCTCCTCCCCCATCCCCCCACCCGCTCTCGCCGCAGGAGGCGGCCGCCCTGCGCGCAGAGATCGCCCGCGCCCGGCTGGAGGCGCGGCAGCTGCGGCTGCGGCTGCAGGCGGCGCCCCCGCGCGCGCCCTGCGCGCCGCGCGCCTCCGAAGCGGCGGCCCCTCCGCCGCCTCGCGCGCCTCCGAAACAATCTCTACATATCTACATTTATACACATGTAAAGGTGTATATGTATACACACATATATACATGTACACACATACGTATATATACATTTCTATACATGTATCTGCATTTGTACATACACGCATATACACATATGTATATCGATACACATGCATCTGCATACATGTATGCATAGAGGCGCATAGATGTGAATACATACAGTATCTACATGTCTACACCTATATCTGTATACATATGTGCACCGACACCCATGTATACATACATGCATACATGCATACATGCATGTATGCATAGATACACCCGTACGCATACATGCATCCATCCATACATACAACCAGGCAGACATACTCATATACATATGCGCATACATGCATACTCACATACATACATATACACATGCATACATGCATACATGCATACGTACACGCATACATGCATACACCCACACAACCATGCATACATACATATACATACATTCACGCACACATACACATGTATAAACACATCCACACCTGTACGAACTTACATACATGCGTGCATGTACACATACATACACACATACGCACAAACATACCTGCATATACACATATATACACACACTTGCATACATGCACACATGCATACGTACATACGTATACATCCACACGCACCAACACACTTACATGCACACACGCAAACACATACATGCACACACACATACATACATACATTCGTACACACGTACATGCGCATACACGCATGTATACATGCATACAATCATCCATACACACATACATACACATTTACATGCAAGTTTACATACATGCATACATACACTCACATACACACATACACACATACACACATGCATCCATACATGCATACACACATACATACATACATACATACAGTTACCCTTGTACACACAAGCATACATACATACACACTGTACATACACACATTCATACGTACATTCAATCATACAACTATACGTGCATACATCTCTACGTATACACATGTTACACACATACTCATATATACATGCATGACCACATACATACATAGATGCAAATACAAGCATATACACATACATACATACATACACACATACATACACACCTACATACATACGTACACGCATACATGCATACAACCATGCATACACATACACACTTATACACAAACATATATGTGTATACATGAAGTCATGCGTGCATACACGCATTCATACATTCACGCCTACATATATTTGTATACACACATACAAACAACACACATATATGTATACATGCATTAATGCGTGTATGCATGTGTGTTTGTATGTATACACATATGTATGCATGTATGATGTATGTAGGTATGCATGCATGCATGCATGCATGTATGTATGTATGTATGTATGTATGTATGTATGTATGTATGTGTGTATGTGTGTATGTCTAGGTGTCTGTATATATGTATCTATGTATGTGTGTATGTATGTATGTGTGGACATATAGACATACATGTATGTATGCATGTATGTATGCATGTGTGTGTGTATGTACCTGTATACGCATACACACACACACACCCCTGGGCACGAGGCGAGGGGGCCCGGGACGGGACCCTCGACAGCGCATGCAGGGGCCGGGGGGCCCAGGGGCCCAGGTGCCATGCCGGGGCGCCGGGAGCTCTCTGAGATCGCCCGGAGACGGCCCCAGATTGCCAGATTACCTTAGAATTTTGCTCCGGATTGTCGAAGAGGCCTCCAAGGCGCCCCAAGAGGCCTCCAATATGTCTCCCAAGAAACACCATGAGGCACAAATCATTGATTTCCCTTTGGTTTTGAAGGATTTTAGAAATTTCAGCCTTCTGGCATTCCGATGCTCCAAGACAGCCAAAGAAGCTTCCAATACCGCTTCACGACACAGGAAGAGGCCTCCAAGAAGGCCCCAAGACGGCCCACGAGGGCTCCAAGACAGTGCCTGACACGCCCAAGACGGCCCGAGAGGGCCCCAAGAGAGGTCCAAGAAGGGGAACGCGAACCCAACAGCAGGGCCTTCCCACCACAAGGCGCACAGGAGACCCCAAGAGGCCCCCAAGTGGTCCGACGATGCCCCCCAAAGCCTCCCAAGAAGCCCCAGATGGCCCATAGGAGACGCACAAGAGGCCCCAAGATAGCCCAACAGTGCCCTCGATGCGTCAAAACTGCATCCAGGAGCAACAGAGAGGGGCAGGAGGACAAGACGGAAGCGACGACGACCTGCAGGCGAAAGCGCGACCTTGGCGAGAGCGGCCCCCGCAAGACTGACCCCGGCGAAGGAGGCCACGGCTCCGTCGAAAGCGACGGCCGGCGAAAGCGACCGCCAGCGAATCTACAGTGGAAACCCATGCCAAGAGGCACCCTGCTTGCTTCTAGGGTGCCGTGGGTTTCTTGGGTTTCGATGGTTTTGCTATGGAAAACGTGACGTTCCCACACCAAAAATCAATGGACGTCATGGGGTCTCTAGGTCGGGCTTCTGGTGGAAGGTTTCTTGTGGTCGAGGTCCTACTGTAGGCCTCCCAGATGGGGTCCGAGCAGATGGGGTCGGAGGATCGCGCCGCATTGCCGATGCATCGCTCGCCGATACGGCTTGATGTGGAGCCCGATTTCTCCACGCCAGCGGCGCTGACATGCCGCCGACGTCGCCATGCATCGCCAATGCACGGCGATGCATCGGCGATGCGGCGCGATCCTCCGACCCCATCTGCTCGGGCCCCATCTGGGAGGCCTCTAGCGAAGGAGACCGCCGGCGAAGCCGACCCCTTCGAAATCGACCGGGCGAGAGCGGCGCCATTGCTGTTTGTCTGCGACGCACTTGAACAGACCATACTCATATTCAAACTAGCTGCGAATTTCTCTATACAAGCACTTCGCCCACTCGTGTCTGGGGTGTCCAACTTTTCTTGCAAGAAAATCGGTGATCGTTCTCATGCTGCCCAGCTGGAAAGTTATGTTTCGGAGAACGTCAGTGTCGCTGCTCCGCCCGAGTTGACCAAACCACACACGGTAACGTGGAAGTAATTGTGCACTGTATGGTGTAGCCCCCGCTTGTTGTAACACACTTTTGTTGGACACCCTTG